GTCCTTAGGCACTGATCCCCATTTCAAAATTTGGAAAGGGACGAGCCGGTCTGGGGCAGTTGAGCCACCCTTACTGGTCCGGATGGACCGCTGTCCCGTCTGGCTGGTTCTGAAGGGGCCACTAAACACCCCCCACTGCAGAGGATCTGACCTTCAGGGCCAGGTTGGGCCCCCCAAGCGGCCCTCTTGAATGAGGGGAGTGGTGCAGGGTACTTGGGGGGTGTGGGGGGTACAAAGGCCCAGAAGCCTTTGTACCTCTGGCCCAGAAAGTCCCGACTGCCTCAGCGGGTCGGGGGGGCCCACGGTGGTCTTCCGCCGGGCCCTCTGGTGAGGGGAAAGCGCCTCTGTCATGGCTCCCCCAGCAGGCCGCCTTTGTGCCCCCGTCAGCACCGCTTTGCGAAGAGGGCATCCGAGCTGGCGCTAATCGGATCCAGCAGCTGGGATTGGAGGGCAGGGTTGCCACAGCAACCGGCCCCGGGAGAAGCCATCCCCGACAGACTCTTTTGTCTAGGCCTCTCTCGGGCGTTGGCACAGCCGGCCAGCGCCGCCCCTGGAGAAGAAAGGCTCCGGAGGACGATGAGCGGGGAGCTGCAGGGCGCCGAGAGAGGCCGGGCCAGCGGGGCGCCCACTGAGCAGCTGCCACAATAGCCCCCACCAGGGGCTGCCACTCATGCTTAGTGTTCGGACGCCTGAGCTCGGCAGCCGGGCCACTAATCCTTCCTCCCGGCCCTGAGTTTCCATGGACACATGAGCCGGCTAGGACAGGCAGGCTGGCTGGCTGGGCGAGGAAGGGGCCTCGGCTGTCCTCAGGGCAGGCCTGGGGACTCAGTTGGCGGGGCCGCTACCCGCCATATCCCGGCCCTCGCCTCTTCCCTGCTGCCCTTCCTGAAATGCCCTTTGCCTGGTCTCGGTGGTGCAGGGCCCGTCCGTGTGGCCCTCTTTTTTCTGTCACTCCACACTAGCCAGAGTTTTGCTGGAGTCTTCTCTTTTCTGCTTTGGATTTTGGAGCCACTGCATTCATTTCACCCCATTGTCTTCTTCAAGACCTCCTGGCCTGCCTTTGGCTCTCGGCCTGCAAAGTGTTTCCGGAGGCACCACAGGCCAGAGGAGACGGCCAGATTGGGGTACGGGTTAAGGCACCGGGCTAGAAAATGGGAAACCTGAATTTCTAGTTTTTCAAGGAAACGGCAAACCATTTCCAAAAACTTTGCGCAGAAAACCTCACTTGTTAGCAGGAGTCAACACTGACTTGAAGGCACTCAAAAAAAAAAAAAAGTGCTCAGAGGTTGGTTGTGGGCCTGAATGTCAAAACCTGGACCCCTGGCAGCCTTGCTAAGACCACAGATTAGGAATTGCTGTGGGAAAGCTGAAGCTGAAATGTTCACCCCGAGGGCACCCTTGCATGAGAGGCTGCCAGTCCAGCATTCCTGGGTTTGCAACAGTCGTTTGGTGTCCGAGGAGCGCCAGTCCCTGCCACACACAAGCCCTGGCATTAGATGCCCTGAGCTATTAAAAATTTCCCTCGTGCCAGCGGAGGTTTTCCCCCTGAGGTGCCTGCTGGTAAACTGGATAATCTTCTTTCCTCCTTGCCCGTGTTCCGGTGCCCAGCGCGCAGGAGGCTCAGAAGCTCCCAACCCCGATTTTGCTGGGCCTGGCTGTTGACTCCAGGCCTGATCCGAACAGAAGGTCCATTGTCTGCCTTCCACCTCCCCTCACCCCAGCTGGCCGGACTGCGTCATTCAGGAGAGCCGTTCGGATATTCTGTCGGAGAGTCAGGCAGGGGCAGATTAAGGAGTCCACACTCCTGACTGCCACATAAGACCCAGTTCTTGACTTCTTGGGATGCCTTTCGTGGAAGGCTGGGTGGCCAGTCAGCTGTGGGGTTGGTCCAGTGGACCCTTTGCAGGACCCTGGCCAGAATTAGCAGCCTTTTCATGGTCACAGTAGCTCCCTGGCTCCGGATTTTAAATTCTCGCTCCCACTTTTTTTTTGTCAAGGTTCTCATATCCTGCTTATCTCATTTATACGATGTGCTCAGTTTGGTTACTGGTAGCTTTTGTTTGTTCTTTTCACCCACCCACCCCAGCATATTGTTCATATTCAACCCATTTGGTTTAGTTTGTGATTCAATATATTGTGCCAAACTAAAACTGGGTTAATTCGCTACCCACGTTAAGTGGATTGTGTGTTTACAGAAATAGGAAGATGACCTACTTAACTCCAAGATTAAGGGGTGGGATGGGGGGACAAAAAAAAGGAGTTTTCTCACTTGCTACAACACCTACGTTGTCTCTCACTTCCCAACTGGCGCTCTGAGGTTCCATTAACCCTGGTAGCTGGGAATTCTGAAATTATGCCCAAATATTTGGTTTGTTTGTTGCAGTCTTCTCCTCGGTGACTGCACCTCTCTCAGCTTGCCTGGCTTCCAAAGAGCTAAGGAGAAATAGACCTGGTTAGTGTTTGGATGGGAGGCCACCAGGAAACACCAGGGCTATAGAATCGAGTCAAAAAAATGTTCTGGAAGAAAAGAGTAGCCAATTTACCTTGTTGCCAAGAAAACTATACAGATAAGTCAGATGTCTCCTACCTTTGTGGTCTCCTCAAGTGGGCAAGGTTGATGGTCTCTCAGCAGCCCTGCGAGGTGGTTGAGCTAAGCCCAAAGTCACCTCATGAGCTCTGTGACTAATGGTGGAATTGAACTAGGCTTGGAATTGATCGATTGCGTGCCCCCCGTGGAGCAAGGTGGCCGGGCATCTTCCTGCCTCGAGGTCATCGCTAAGAAGGCGCGATGGTGCCGCATCGTTTTGAAATAAGGTCAGCAGCATCCCACCACCAGCCCTTCAGCACAGCCTTTCTCCACTTGCAGGTTCTGACGGGGGTGGGTACCAGCCTGGGCTAGTCCTGAGGAGCTGCCCCTTTGGCTGTAGCTAGGTGGTCTCCTGAGGAGAGCCAGGGGACCCCTGTCCTGGAAGGAAGCCGCCATTGCCATCTCCAGATGACTCCCAGGCGACCCGGCAGCCATTTTGCACCTTTGGTAGTGTTCGTGGCTTGTGCAGTTAATTCATGGATCCGTGTATTGTGCAAATTCAGAAAAAATTGGGTTAATTGAGTAAATTATGGTCCAGTTGCCAGTTTTAACTGCTTTATGCAATCACCGGTAATGACATTTGGCATGAAGAGCAGCCAAGTCTGGGCTGTGTAGAGTATGAACATCGATATAGCGTGCCTAATTTTTTTTAGCTTCTGACTGGCAGCCCCTCGGCAGGTTATCCCAGTTCATCTGTCCTGGGAACAGGAGCCGTCCTGCGCCCCTCTGTTGCAGCCTCCCGCAGCCTTGACTGTTGAATGAGCACGATGGGAGTTGCAGTCCCAAACACTGGGATGGGCTTCGGTGAGAGAAGGCTGAATCAACCAACATTTGTATCCTGGGGAGTCTCCTGCCATTTCCCCAACCAATAGGCAAACTTCTCTGGGCTGATGACATGGCTTTAGGTCCCCTTAAAGCAGGGGTAGGCAACCTTGGCTCTTTTATGACTCGAGGACTTCAACTCCCAGAATTCCTGAGCCAGCTGTGCTGAGGGGAATGGGAGAGGTTTCCAAGCTGAGCCATGCTGGCTCAGGAATTCTGGGAGTTGAAGTCCACGAGTCATAAAGCAGCCTAGGCCTAGGCCAGAGGTAGGTAACCTTGGCTCTTTTATGACTCATGGACTTCAACTCCCAGAATTCCTGAGCCAGCCATGCTGAGGGGAATGGGAGAGGTTTCCAAGCTGAGCCATATTGGCTCAGGAATTCTGGGAGTTGAAGTCCACGAGTCATAAAGCGGCCTAGGCCAGAGGTAGGCAATCTTGGCTCTTTTATGACTCGTGGACTTCAACTCCCAGAATTCCTGAGCCAGCCATGCTGAGGGGAGAGGGAGAGGTTTCCAAGCTGAGCCATGCTGGCTCAGGAATTCTGGGAGTTGAAGTCCACGAGTCATAAAGCGGCCTAGGCCTAGGCCAGAGGTAGGTAACCTTGGCTCTTTTATGACTAATGGACTTCAACTCCCAGAATTCCTGAGCCAGCATGGGGGAACTATGGCCCCCTTCATGACTCGTGGACTTCAACTCCTAGAATTCCTGAGCCAGCCATGCTGAGGGGAAAGGGAGAGGTTTCCAAGCTGAGCCATGCTGGCTCAGGAATTCTGGGAGTTGAAGTCCACGAGTCATAAAAGAGCCGAGGTTGCCTACCCCTGCTTTAAACCAATGAGGGGGAAACTTCTAAGGAGCTGACGCTTCACCTCCGCCAACATTTTATTACATTTGGAATCCCCGATTCCCAAGGCTGTGTGATCTCACACCGGAGAATTTGTTCTGTCTTCAACCTACTAGCAATCTTGCAATTACCAGGTATGTCTTACCACCAGCTGCTTCCTGCCTGCCCAAGGCAGGCCATCTTTTATCACCTTTGCTGCTGTTGCTGCATTTTTCACACCTGCCCAGAATAGTGAGCAAAATCTCCCTTTGCTCAAAGGTTTAGAGATGAGTAAGTCACCAAGGGGAAAGTTTGGATTTGTGATTGATTGCACAGAGTCCTCTGAGGCTGAAATGGTTGGTAGCTCTGATGCTTTCCTTGTCAAGGGACAGACGGAAACCCAGCGCTTCCTGCCAGTTCTGGATTTAAGCGATACGGACGACCGGTGGGGTTCCTGGATCTGTGCAGATGGGTGGGGTGAGGAGCTTGCCATTCTGGTTTTCTAGGAACATCTCCAGATGTTCAAGACCTGTTGGCATTGCAGGGAAAGCTGTTCCTGTCTCCGCTTCCTCCTCTTGTGCTTAAAACTATAATAGGTAATTAAGTAGCTGATCGCTGTCCGTTTTCTACTAATGCCCCAAATATGTTATCTAATAGATTATTTTAGCCTAACATTGAAGTTATTCCCGGCAATTATTTTTATTTTACCCTTCTGCCCCCAACAGCCACCCATTTCACCCCGCCCATCTGGATTATTTTGTTTCTTGCAGGTGGACGATGCCATGCTGATGTTTGACAAGACAACTAACCGGCATCGAGGTGAGAGAGACTGAGCACTTGGATCTGGGGGGGGGGCTGCCCAGTGGTGTGGCCCCTTCCAGCACCTCCCATCCCTAATCAAGTGCTTTCACCCACTGTGGGGGGGGGCCTCCCTCAGGTGATGGAAGCCTGGGATAAGCGGGGCTCCATGAAACAGGGTCTAAGAAGACTAGCAAGAAAGCCCAGGGGCTGTCCCACCTTATATGAAATTGCCAGAAAGAAGAGGACAAGAACTGGCCTGGCCTGATTTGACCTTTTTGACATGTTTGTTAAGCAAATCCCGCCCGTCGTTAAGCGAACCTGGCTTCCCCCGTTGACTTTGCTTGTCAGGAGCAAAGGGGAAGTTCGCAAACGGTGATCAAATGACTCTGGGACAGGCTGCACCTGTCACCAGTACATGCCGGTTGCCAAGTGCTCAAACTTTGATCACATGACTGGAGATGCTGCAACAGTCGTAAATCATTTTTTCCCCCAGTGCCCTTTTAACTTCAAGCGGTCACCAACCAAACGATTGTAAGTCAAGGAGTGCCTGTTTTTGTTCCCTTTGCTTGTATTCTTACCCAGATGATCTTGACTGAACTTCTGAAATGTTGGTTCTTTGGACATCTATGGACTTCCCTTAATAATAATATAATAATAACAACAACAACAATAATAATAATAATAGTAAAGTTGGAAGGGACCTTGGAGGTCATCTAGTTCAATCCCCTGCTCAGGCAGGAAACCCTATACCATTTCAGACAAATGGCTGTCCAGTCTCTTCTTAAAAACTTCCAGTGTTGGAGCATTCACCGCTTCTGGAGGCAGGTTGTTCCACTGGTTAATTGTTCTAACAGTCAGGAAGTTTCTCCTTAGTTCCAGGTTGCTTCTCTCCTTGATTAGTTTCCATCCGTTGCTTCTTGTCCTGCCTTCAGGCCCTTTGGAGAATAGCTTGACTCCCTCTTCTTTGGGGCAGCCCCTGAAGTATTGCAACACGGCTATCATGTGACCCCTCATCTTTCTCTTCATTAAACTAGACATACCCAATTCCTGCAACCATTCTTCATATGTTTTAGCCTCCAGTCCCCTAAGTGCTCTTCTCTGCACTCTTTCTAGAGTCTCAACATCTTTTTTACATCGTGGTGACCAAAACTGGATGCAATATTCCAAGTGTGGCCTTACCAAGGCATTGTAAAGTGGTATTATCTCCTCCTTCCTACGATCCTTTCCTTTTGAGTTCTGCCTCTCAGCCCTTCCATTCCTTGGCTTTTGCTTCAGGGAGTCTTACTCAGCTTCCTGCATTGAAGCTGCCAGTTCTTCTTTCTCCCACATTCTGTGCATTCGTACAGAGAATTGGAATCCCAGAGGCACAGAACGGGAAGGGGCTTCTCATTGGGGCCTTCCCATCCCAAAGGTCTCTGCCTGTGCCCGATGCTTGTGACGCTTTGCTTCTCTTCTGCCTTAGAGGCAGCTTTCTGTTTACAGCTTCTGGTTTGCAAGGTGACTTTGCAGGATTTTCTTCCACCTCTTGTCAGGAGTCCCTGATCTCAGAAGTGAGTGCTATTATGGAAGAAGGGTCCAAGCTGCTCACAGTTGGGACCATCTGCTTAGCCAGTTGCTCCCTTCTTTCCTCTCTTCTTCCTGATCCGCATCCTTTGAAAGAAAGAATAAAGAAATCACCCCCAAGTCCTTCCTGGACCATTCTGTCCAGGAATTTCATAGTCCCTTGGAGTATGTTCATGAGAATAGACTGGAATCGAATGGAATGGAATAGAATAGAATGGAATAGAATAGAATAGAATAGAATAGAATAGAATAGAATAGAATAGAATAGAATGGAATATGGAATGGAATATAGAATGGAATATAGAATGGAATGGAATAGAATATGAAATGGAATAGGAATAGGAATGGAAGAATAGAATAGAATAGAATAGAATAGAGTAGAATAGAATAGAATAGAATAGAATAGAATAGAATAGAATAGAATAGAATAGAATAGAATAGAATAGAATAATCTGGAAAGGACCTTGGAGCTCTTCTAGTCCAGCCCCCTGCTCAAGCAGGAGAACCTATACCACCTCAGACAAGTGACTGTCTAGCCTCTTCTTAAAAACTCTCCAGTGATGGAGCGCCCACAATTTCTGAAGGCAAAGCTGTTCCACTGATTAACTGTCCTCCCTGTCAAGAAGTTTCTCCTTAATTCCAGGTTGCTTCTCTCTTTGATCAGTTTCCAACTATTGTTTCTCGTCTTTCCCTCTGATGCTTTGGAGAAGAATTTGACCCCCTCTTCTTTGTGGCAGCCCCTCAAATACTGGAACACTGCTATCCTGTCTCCCCTATTTCTTCTTTTCTTTAGACCAGCCAAACCCAAGTCCCGCAGCCGTCCTTCTTATGTTTTAGTCTCCAGGCCTTGGATCATCTTAGTTGCTCTTTGATTTTAGTTGCTCTTCTCTGGTTGTGTCACTGTTCTCACGTGGTGGGAAGGAAAGTATATTTGTCAGTGGGCTTAAAAAGTTTTGTGAGTCCATCTCATCCTGAATGTGTGACCCAACAAAGGCAACACACATCAACAGGCTGCAGCTTCAGTCTTTCGCAACAGAGAGTCTCTGATGACCATCACCAACTCTGCTTCCATCATTTCGGGGCAGAATCAGGAACTCTTCCCTTTGTACAACTTCTGGAGGCCTCTTACTCAGACCAAAATCTTATGTCAGCTGTTCTTTGTCCAAGGCTTTAGAGACATCCTCTTTGACAGGCCCTGGGGTTTTCTGCAGCTCCAGAGAATACACCTCCTTCTCGATGAGTTTGTTTCTTGGTGCCATTTTGCCTCCACCGGGGCTTCCTGTGTCCAGTCCAAAAATTCTTCATGGGGTGGGTAGTTTACCTTTGCCTCTAGCCCCTTCCCCTTCTCTTCCAGGTGAGCAATCCGCCTTGCAGCATGTACACTTCTTGCGTCCTTCAGACAGGAAAATAAACCCACCGCATTCCCTGCAGGTCACACGAACGGATCTCTCTGTCCACAATCTTCTTTCAACAGCAAGCAACAAGGGGGGGAAAAAAAAATACTTCCCTCGTTGCACTGTTCCCGGCCCTCCTTTTTCATTCGCCCTGCGACCTGGTGGTCTGGGCAGCTGCTTCCTTATATGTCCACTGAAGCTGCCTCAACTGGGTCAGTAGCTAGCAATGCTCCGATCCGTCAGCAGCTCTTAGGGAAGAATCAACAGCAGCTGTCAGTCTCCCCTTTTGGCTGCCCTTCTTCCTTTTTCTGCCCCTTCCTTCTCCTCAGTTGAACTCCTGTGCCAAACTCCTGCTCGCTTGCCCATTTCTCTAGTCTTAAGTGGCACTGATGGGATGTATGAAGCTTCTGCACCCTCCCGATGCTTGGAAGATCTGAAGCAGAACAGACCTGCCTTCATCTAAGACGCCACCGACTTTTTCCTCACCTGGACTGGCTCTCGTGCACCACGCGCCCTTTTCCCCCCCCAAATTTTGCTGCCCTAGCAAAGATGTAGATTTTTCTTTTTATAGCATTTCTGCCTGCAGATGTTCTCTTTGCTTTTATGCCTGCCCCATGCTCATTCATCAGCTATTGTTGGCTTTATATAATGTAATGTATTGTGTAGATTGAGCAAATAAATAGGTAACTGGAACAGAGCGGGTCTGTATTACACCCCTTTCCCACTGCCCAGTCTCCCCCATTACGCTGCGTTTTAACCAGAGAAATGCAGCTCTGGCTTCCCATCTTTTGGGGGGACCCCCTTGGCCCACTTTCCAGGCTTCTTCTGTGCTCTGTTCTTCCTCCCTGGGTCCTCATCCTTTCATTGGTACCTGCCCTCCTGGCTGCCATCCACCGGGGCTTAAGGAAATCTGAGCTGGGATTTGCAGCCAGGATTTTTAAAAGCAACTTAACTTTGCCATAGTAACTGGGGGGGGGCAGCTGAGGCTTGTGGTGAAAGGCTGACCGGGCCTGCTCTGTCTTGCCCACGGAGAAGCTGCAGAAAGGAAGCATTGGCTGCTGGTGGTGGGAGGTGGCGATGCCCCAATTGGGCGGAAAGCGGGCGGTCTCTCTCGATTGCATCTCTGTTATCTCCATAGCTCTCTTCTGCCGGGGGAGCCTTTGAAATGATAGGGATGGGTAGGAAGAGCTAGGAAGAGTAGGCAGGAGAGAGAGAAGGACTGCTGATGTCCTCAGCTCTTTTCCAGTCATGGTTTGTTTACTACTACTACTACTACTACTACTACTACTACTACTACTACTACTACTACTTCTTCTTCTTCTTCTTCTTCTTCTTCTTCTTCTTCTTCTTCTTCTTCTTCTTCTTCT